CCTCTCTTCCTTCCTCTCTCTTTCTTTCTCTCTCTTTTTCTTTCTCTCTGTCTCTGTCCCTCCCTCCTTCCCTCCCTCCCTCCCTCCCCTCCCTCCCTTCTCCAGAGTCTACTGTGCATATAATAGATACTCAGTAATTGTTTGTTGACTGAATGAATGAGAGCCCAAGAGTTCACAAGTCTTGTGCATAAGAGCAATGGCCCATTTTGATGCCTACCTAGATGTCTTGAAAAAGAGTTGTGAGCAGGGGCAGCAGAGCAGTGGTCATGGAAGGAGACAGCGTTGGGAACATGGGGCGCTTGTCACTATTCCATACCATAGAATGCCAGGACAGAAGGGTGGACGGAGGAGTGGCTGTGGGATTTGAGGGGGTGCATGGCTGACCTGGAGCACTGTTTGAGTGGATTATGTGTGGTCACCTCGTGACAGCGGACTAAAGAGGGAAGATGGCAGGTCAGGACCCAGGCTGGGGAAGAGCAGAAGGAAAGGGGGCGGCGGGGGATAGATGTTGGAGATGTGAGACCAAAGAAAAGAGAAGTGTGGCATAGAGTGACTCACTGTGGGTTTGTGAGTGGAAAAGGGTACACATGTTCTTTATTTTTGGAAATGGGGTCTCCCTAGATAGCCCTGGCTGTCCTGTAACTTCCTGTGTAGACCAGGCTGTTCCTTCTGCCGCTGCGGACTGAGGGCCAGGGTCAAAGGTGTGCACCACCACTGCCAGCTTGGTCCATGCTTTCTTAAATGATTCCAATTCCTCACGACTCTTCCAGAGGCCTCCTGTTACCAGAGGATTCAGAACTCCACTCTCTTTCCTCCTTTGTCCTTTTTCATATAAGACAAAGAAAGGACTTTTATCTGGTAGAAAGAAAAGCTGGTTTGTTTTATAATAGGAGCTTTCCTACCCACTCCCACTCTTGAACGGGGAGATGCTAGTTGCTGGAGTCCTCTGGGTGTCTTTTATCTTCCCGCTCTTTCTGTTCCTCAGCGTCTTGGGTGTTAGCATTACATGGTAGGCTTTAGCTGACTGTACGGAAAGGCCTTATTTACTTAGGACATGTGCTGACAAGAATTTGGCAAGCACAGTTGCAAAATTGTTTTCAGTGCACATAAAATAACTTGTGCACCTTTCCTTCACTCAGCTAGCAACTATGAAATTTTATCATACACAGGTGTTGTGATCCTCATTGGGATACAACATTGGCAGTATCTTTTTTTTGTTCTAGAGTTTTAATTAATTTACATTCCTGAGGGGGAAATACACAAAGAGAGAAATTATATTTAATTGAAGTGCTAAGGAGGACTGTAAAGCAGGGTGGGTGTTGTTTAACAAGGTGGTCTAGAGTATCTCGGGGAAGGCGATGTTGAACACAGAGCCGCCCGAAATCGAGCACTGAGATGGGATATGGAGCTCTGGAGTGGCCATGATCGTGAGGGGGTGAGTGCTGGAAGGGCAGGGCCGAGAGAAGGCCAGTGTCGAGGCAGCTGGTGGCCTGGGGACTTGGTCTCCACTGACTCCTGAGATCTGCTGTGATGTGGCTGGAGGGTGACAGGGAATGTTCGTGCTGGGCTCCGTGGTGGGGTAACCATAGTAACACCACCGTGTACATCATCCCCAGTTACTGTGCACGCACCCCATCCCACTGTGTTAAAAGTACAGTTCTTGGGAGTGAGGGGAAATTTCATTCTGGTCTTCAGATTCTGTCCTTTATCTGCTCCGTTTTTGTGTCACAAGGCACTTGCGAGCTGATGAGCTGGTGGCTCTGGTGTGGCTGCTTCTCCTGCCTGCTTGCAGTGAAGGTCATAAATTCAAGCTTCATGCTTTCTCCACAAGGGCTTTCTCCTGCTCTCTTCTCCTTTGGCTCTTCTCCCGGTCAGCACTGGCCCGAGCACTGATGTCTCTGGGAGAAAGCGTGGTGAGTGTAGAGACTCAAGTGCCAGATCTAATTTTCCTAAGGCGATTCCTTCGTTAATTTCAAGTAAACCTTTATTTCCGAGAAGTACTGCAGTGGGCTGGGGGTCGCTCAGTTGGTAGAGTGTATGCCTAGTAGGCACGAAGTCCTAGGTTCAGTGTCCAGAAATGCATAAACCGGGGGTAGGGGTGCGTGTCTGTAATCCTAAAACTGTACATGGAATCAGGAGGGCCAGGAGTTTGTGGTAGTCCCCCATAAGCTTATAGGAGTGGCACTATTGGGAGGTGTGGCCTTGTTGAAGGAAGTGTGTCACTGTGGGGGCGGGCTTTGAGGTCTCTTGCTTAAGCCTCACTCAGTGTCACAGTCGACTTCCTGTTGACTTCGGATCAAGATGTAACTAGTACCATGTCTGCCTTCATGCGCCCTGCCATGCTCCCCACCAGATGATGGACTGAACCTCTGAAACTGTAAGCCAGCCACCCCAATTAAATGTATTCCTTATAAGAGTTGCCTTGGTCCTGGTGTCTCTTTACAGCAGTAGAAACCCTAACTAAGACATCATGCTTAGCTACACAGTGAATTGGAGGCCCCTATCTCCAACCACCCAAACTACACAACCACCCACCCACTAGGAAGAACTGCAGGAAACATTGTCATGTGGAGGTGTTGTTCGAATTTCAAAGGTCTTATAATAAAAAACCAGGAGCCAGATATTGGGGTGAATGCTGAAAGATCAGAGAGACAAAGGAACAGGTCACTGCCATGTCTCACCTTGCCAGCTCCATGAATCCTCTGACTGAAGTCCTCTGAGTCCTCACCTGAAAGGCTCCAGCCGAAAGAGCCTCTGGATGAAAGTCACGCTCCTGCTGAAACGCCTTTAGTTCCTGTCTGCTCACGCCTTATACACCTTTCTCCGCCCAGCCATCACTTCCTGGGATTAAAGGCATGTGTGTTTCCCAGTCCTGGGAGTAAAGGTGTGTGCCACCACTGCCTGGCTTCTATGTTTAATCTAGTGGCATGTTCTGTTCTCCTATCTTCAGGTAAATTTTATTAGCATACACAGTATATCACCACAGGAGGGCTTCAGGACTCTGAGTACTCTGGGCTCTGCACTGTCCTTTTTCTTCTCTTTCTCAAATGAAGTATACATAATACACCAGGAAAATTCAAGTCAGTCCCCCAAAACTGTCTGTTCTTCCTCTCGCCTCTTTTTGTATCTGATTCTGAAGTTAATAGCATCATGAATCAGGAATGGATTTTGACTCTAAGGAAGAGGGTTTTTGATACTGCTGATCTTTTATATCAGTAGATTTTGCACTCAGGTCCAGCCAACCAAGGACTTAAAATATTTGAATAAAGGATGCGTTTACTGCCTGTGTGCAGACCTTTTCCTGCCACTGTTCCCTAAAGAACACAGAGTAACCAGCTATCTAGTGGCTCCTTGGCTTTAGGCTTCACAGTAACCTAGAGGTGATTTAAAGTATAAGGAAGGATGCCTCTTGTAGCCTGTATGCAGATACCAACCCACTTCAGTGTTTTCTGGGACACCTGGACCCGACCCTCAGATCCTGAGGAGCAGGTGAATTCCGTGTAACTCCAGGTGTATCTGAGACAAGGCAGGTGGACACTTCCAGGTGCTGTCTCACCTCTAAACAAACGCTTGACCTTGTTTCTGTGTCTCTCCTGCCTGGGTCCTTTTTGTCTTGTAGCCATCGGTTGGCTGCGCATGTATCTTTCCTTCCACAGACTTTAAACCTGGCTTTCAGCCTGAGCTCTTGTGGTTTGGTCCTTCACAAGGTCTAGAGCAGGTGCCAGTGCTTTAGTCCTGGTTGTTGCTCCGAAGTCTGTGCAGAGTAAGAGAATGCGTGCAGTGGACTGCAGCCTGGGCATGGGGTTGACCTCTGTCCTGTACCCACATCCTTCTGCTTCTCCCCATAAGTTAGGTAACACTACATGATGGTACAGATGGCTACGTTTCCCATCTTCCCTCACTGAAACCTTGCTTTCAAATGTGGAACGTACGTAAAAGTGCCCCAGAAATCAGCCGGGCAGTGGTGGCACACACCTTTAATCCCAGCACCAAGGAGACAGAGGCAGGTGGATCTCTGTGAGTTCGAGGCCAGCCTAAGACAGCCAAGGCTGTTACACAGAAAAACAAAAACAAACAAACAAAAAAAAGACTGGAAGTCGCTGGAGAAAAAATTGACCCTGGGTATTTGGCATTTGGTAAACACACACATGTACACACATACCTTCACACACTTGTTTACTCACGCTTGGCTTTTTGAGGTAGGATGTAGTTATATGTCTCAAACTGGCCTCACACTCACAGTCCTCCTGCCTCAGCCTCCTTTTTGGGAGTTTTTTTATTTTTTGAGACAGGGTTTTGCTATGTAGTCTTGGAACTCACTCTTTAGACCAGGCTGGTCTTGAACTCACAGAGATCTGCCTGCTTCTACATCCCAAGTGCTGCGACTAAAGATGTATACCAGCACTGCCTTTTTTTTTTTTAAAGCTAAACTTGTTTAAAGTTTTTTTTTTTTAATTAAAATAAAAATCCAATATATTTACTGATGATTCTCAGCCAACTAGTTTGGCTTATTTTGGTTCTGTATTTTACTGAGTTTTAATGATTTGTCTTAAAGTTCCTCAAAATAATGGTTAGATCTCTTTTTGAGGAGAAATTTTTCCAGTGATTTCATGTTGGTGTAGCATGTTGAACTATATATGAGATATGTGAGATTATTTTTAAATTAAG